CTAGGAGAGCAAGTTTTATTTTTCCGAAAAGTTCTCGGAAAACGTCTTTTGCTCAACCCGTGAGATTTGTCCAACTCGGAAATAAGAAAAACATTATGGGGTTTGATAGATTTTATCGTTGCCCTCAGTGATCTGAGATAGAAATCGTGAGCTTGTTTTGTCGCTCTTCCCGTGGCGAAGAGTCGCGATTAGGTTTTCGATTTTGTTCAGTACTACAGCGTTTGCGTGAGCGTTGGCTGTAGGAGCAGTCGCTGCTGGAGTTGTTTTACCAGCATCTTTTTACGAGTTGTGACTTTGTCTTTCATACCTCCAGACATCATTTTGGTCAAGCGTTTTGCGGCTATGAGTAAGAGTAATCCGACTCCCCCTCCTTCTAGCGCCAAACTGTGGGAACCGAAATTCACACTTGTCGATTTCCTTTAAATAAGGAAACTTAGGAAAACCCTAATTTCCCAGAGGAACCGGATCTCTGCGAAAGCCAACGACAAGTAACCAAATAAATGTGGAACAATATGAAAAACGCAATAAAACGAATTTATAAAGAAAGTAGATCTTATTTCTGATTCCCGTAAGAGCGTTGCGATCATTACAAGGAATTACAAAGGCTTTGGCCGCATGGGCCATCAGCGAGTTACAAACATAAAACCCTCGATCTAGTCAAGTCGCAGCTCGATAACGAAAGACGGAAAAATATAGGAAAAAAGGTTTGATTGATTTCGGACTGAACCTTATGAAAGGCTGCCTACGTACCCCTTTCGGGGATCAAGTCGAACGTAGTTCAGTTGATAGAGCTGGACCAGAGATCGAACTGCCTGGGCGAGTTCGTCTAGTAATTGAGCGCCAGTCATAGAAACCGAACTTGTCGAGAAAAAGCCTAAGTTTCTAAGTGCGNGAAAAAAGGTTTGATTGATTTCGGACTGAACCTTATGAAAGGCTGCCTACGTACCCCTTTCGGGGATCAAGTCGAACGTAGTTCAGTTGATAGAGCTGGACCAGAGATCGAACTGCCTGGGCGAGTTCGTCTAGTAATTGAGCGCCAGTCATAGAAACCGAACTTGTCGAGAAAAAGCCTAAGTTTCTAAGTGCGGAAATTTCTAAGTCTAGAAAAGTTGTAAAAGTCTCAGATGAGAGCTCTGAAATTCGTCTCCTTGCTTCTGCCATATGCCTATTGCTTATATACTCCCTTCCTAGGCGGTTTAGTCTTTCCGTTTCGCCCAGATTCGAGTTTAATGGGAATCTTCCATTTATCTCGATCTTTCCTTTTTTCCCGCGGAAATCTTCTATTTATCCTCAAACTTGACATTTATCTTCAAGTTTGACATTTATCTTCTTTCTACGAGTAAATTGCCAAAACGTCGTCGTATCTTCGGGTTGGACTTCGTTTAAAGTCGCGAGTGGCTTTTATCGTGTTTTATGACTTTCCGAGCCGTTTTGCGATAATCCGTTTTACGACTTTAGACGAGATCGTTTCCTGATACGATGCCGTTTTTAGATAAGTTTATCGAGTTAATCGTAAAGCTAAGCAATGTTCGATGTTTCGATTAATCGGTTCCGTTTTCTACGATTTACTCGGAGTTTTATTAAAAACGCGTTTTGTACGATTTTTACAAAAAATCTCGAATAAATCGTATAGTTTAGGCAATATTCGGTGTTTCGTTTAACCGTTTCCGTTTTATACGATTTCCTCGAGTTATTTTCGAGAAAACAAAGTTTTACGGTTTTTATCGTAAAACTCGAACGATAGGACGGATCGAGACGAAATGAGAGACATTTCGACCGTGATTCGGAATATGATCGTGTCGAAGGACGTATGCCTTGCATCAAGGATGTGGAAGTTCGAGGCTCGGGATGGTCGGCTCGACGTACGGCGAGCTAGTTCGGCTTGGCCAGGTCGCCATATGGCGAACTAGGAGATAAGAACCTGTGGGGCAAAGTCAATAGTTCGCCTGCTGGCGAACTAAGCCGGCTTGGCTTAGTTCGCCAGCAGGCGAACTAGTCGAGGGACTCATAGTTCGCCAGCAGGCGAACTAGCGGAGAGGCTCCTAGTTCGCCTTCTGGCGAACTAAGCCAGCTCGGTTTAGTTCGTCAGCAGGCGAACTAGTCGTGACTAGTTCGCGTTTTGCGGCGATTTCGGTTTTTCGCTGTTTTGTAAAACGATTTCTCGAGTTTTATAAAACGATTAACGAGTTTTATAAAACGATCTTCGAGTTTTATAAAACGGCTTCTCGAGTTTTATAAAACGAATCTCGAATAAATCGTATAGTTTAGGCAATATTCGGTGTTTCGTTTAACCGTGGCCGTTTTATATGATTTCTTCGAGTTCTTTTCGAGAAAACAAAGTTTTACGGTTTTTATCGTAAAACTCGAACGATAGGACGGATCGAGACGAAACGAGAGACATTTCGACCGTAATTCGGAATACGATCGTGTCGAAGGACGTATGCCTTGAATCAAGGATGTGGGAGATCGAGGCTCGGGATGGTCGGCTCGACGTACGGCGAGTTAGTTCGGCTTGGCCAGGTCGCCATATGGCGAACTAGGCGATAAGAACCTGTGGGGCAAAGTCAGTAGTTCGCCTGCTGGCGAACTAAGCCGGGCCGGCTTAGTTCGCCAGCAGGCAAACTAGCGGAGAGGCTCCTAGTTCGCCTGCTGGCGAACTAAGCCAGCTCGGCTTAATTCGTCAGCAGCTGAACTAGTCGTGACTAGTTCGCATTTTGCGGCGATTTCGGTTTTTCGCTGTTTTGTAAAACGATTTTTTCGAGTTTTATAAAACGATTATCGAGTTTTATTAAACGATCTTCGAGTTTTATAAAACGGCTTCTCGAGTTTTGAAAACGATCCTCGAGTTTTATAAAACTATCTTCGAGTTTTATAAAACAGCTTCCCGAGTTTTATAAAACGATCTTCGAGTTTTATAAAACGGCTTCTCGAGTTTTATAAAACGATCTTCGAGTGTTATAAAACGGCTTCTCGAGTTTTATAAAACGATCTTCGAGTTTTATAAAACAGCTTCTCGAGTTTTATAAAACGATCTTCGAGTTTTATAAAACGATCTTCGAGTTTTATAAAACGATCTTCTAGTTTTATAAAACGGCTTCTCGAGTTTTATAAAACGATCCTGAGTCTTATAAAACGATCTTCGAGTTTTATAAAACGGCTTCACGAGTTTTATAAAACGATCTTCGAGTTTTATAAAACGATCTTCGAGTTTTATAAAACGGCTTCTCAAGTTTTAAAAAACGATCTTCGAGTTTTATAAAACGATCTTCGAGTTTTATAAAACGGCTTCTCGAGTTTTATAAAACGATCTTCGAGTTTTATAAAACGGCTTCTCGAGTTTTATAAAATGATCCTCGAGTTTTATAAAACGATTCTCGAGTTTTATAAAACGATTCTTCGAGTTTTATAAAACGATTCTCGAGTTTTATAAAATGATTCTTCGAGTTTTATAAAACGATCCTCGAGTTTAATAAAACGATTCTCGAGTTTTATAAAACGATTCTCGAGTTTTATAAAACGATCCTCGAGTTTTATAAAACGATCCTCGAGTTTTATAAAACGATTCTTCGGGTTTTATAAAACGATTCCTTTTATATTTCTGCGGGGAGTTTTGGCCGTTGATTCCGTCGTACCGATTTTGACCCCAAAAATAGTAAAATCTCGAATCCGTGCAAATCGAATCCGGATCCGGATATCTTAATTTTTAGTTCTAGATATCCGGATTCAGATCCATATTTTAAAAAAGTATATTAAATTTTTTATTTTATTATTAATTATATCTGATATATTAATATTTATATATAAAATAAGTTTATAATATTTTATTTATACTATTATATGTCATATATATTCATATGCATAAATATTTAATTTATGTATTATTAATTTTTTTAATTTTTTAAATTATTTTTATGGATCCGCATCTGGATACCCACGGATATCACAATATCTAGACGGATATCCGAAGCTCGGATATCTGGAAGACACGAATCTAGATCCGGATATTAAAATCACGGATCCGACGAATCCAGATCTTTGGATATCCGGAAGACACGAATCCAGATCCAAATATTAAAATCACGGATCCGACGAATCTGGATCCCGATACTTCAAATTTCTCGGATATCTGAATCTGTCCCCGTCCTAAAGCTAACTATCTAATTCTACCTGAAAACTAGAATATATTACCATGTTCACACGAACTTGCTCTCATATTCTATATATTTATATAATGAAAGTTGACTACCAGTTTTTTCCATGAATTCAAAATTCGAAGCGTATATATCCATGAATCAAAATTTCGAAATCAGTTCGCACCCAGACTGATTAAATTTCGTTTATTGTATATCAATATACATTTACCTAGTAGACACCAATCAAAGACAAAATTAAACCAAAAAAATACCCGATTAAAATATTAATCTTCCACCCACTTGAAATAATACCTAAAACTCAAAAACTAAATGGTAAAAATTCCTAAATTATCATTATGGATTAAGTAATCAAGTTATTTTCAAATTTGGATGATTTGAAGCTTTTGATATTTGGTTACGATTTTTGGATTTTATTTCGGATGGGTTATTAGTTATTTGGGAAAATCACATTAAAACACCTTTTCAAAATGGCAATTACTAATACTTTAAACCTTCAATTTTTTTGACTAGCAATTAAAACATTAAACCCTCAACTCCGTATTATTTTTTGCGCCGCCACTTTCATAAACAGAACAATCAACCCCGTTAACGGAATAGTTAACTCCGTAAACGGATTTAGTCCGGTATCAACAAAACCGTGTCATTTTGGCTTAATTAAAACGACACCGTTTTGAGTCAAAACGAACCTTACACTTTAAAAGGCAAATCGAAAAAGAAAACCCCCAAATCGATTTACAAATTAGGGTTCGTCTCTGCAGCTTTATCTCACTCTCACGACGAACGCTATCAAATTTGAAGAGAAGAACATGTTGGTATGATGAAGAGAAACCACATGGATGGCAATATATGGCTTTCCTTGAGGCGAGAGATACCATTCAAAGGCAAAAAGAGGAGATTAAGTACTTAAAAGATGTTAAAGCACAAACTCATGAGAATGAGAGAGGATTTGAAAAATCGAGCTCAATTTTAGAAGAGCTGAAGCTAAGATATGAAGAATGTGAGTCTCTAAAGCGTGAAGTGTTGATACTCAGCGAGAGGAGCAAAGTGTATCGAAATATTATGAAATCTTCAACTGTCAAATTTTTGTGGTTCTTGGAGTGGTTGTGTCGATGGGGAAGTAGTGTTTGGTGAAGATGTGGTATGTTATTGTTGTTATGGTACAATTATGCTTAGTTTGCGGCTGTGTTTTCTATCTTTGTTTTGCGGTTGTATCCTTGTTTTCTCTCTTTATTTGCGGCGGTGCCTGTGTTTTCTCTCTATCAATGCTATTTCATGCTACATTTGTGTTTGTTTTAATGAAATGTTAACATTATGTTTCTTGGATTCTCAAACAAAATGAGAAACTAAGCATAAAAATAGAAATAGCATCATAGTTTCAGTACAAACATAATTGTAACATTAACATAAAATCCTAAAAGCACACAAACTACAAGATAGATTCAAAAGGTACAAAAACATAAAAACACATAAAGGTCTGAATAGCCTACAAGCCGCATGATGGTTCTGGTGGGGCAGCTGAGGTATGATAAGCTCTGTTGTTTATGACCTCAAAGATACGATCCGTGTATGGATAATGTAGTACGCCTACACCTCTTGGAATTGGTACACTGTTGGTTATCTTCAATGGTTGTCCACGTTTGGCCTTCTTCTTCACATGGGGCACTGATGAGGTAGCATGTCCAGGTGCATTAGATGTTGCAGGATATGTGGAAGTTGATTCAGCATCTGGTACAGGTTGAGAACTGCTTACAGTTGATGGATTCTTCTTCTTTTTTTTGGTTTTGTTGGCCGTTTTGGTACCTAAAATGCAATATGGTAAATTAGTTATGAAATATAAAATCCTCATATATGAAAAAGAACTTAATTCACTTGGAGCTTTCCAAGGTTTTCCTCTTTTGTTTTTTGGACCTTCGACTGTAACTTTCTTGTTCTTACAACCGCTTTTGATATGTCGTGTTTGTAGACAGTTGCTGCAGTGTACAATCCGACCATGTCTTGTAGCTTTTCCATGCCTTTGTTGATCCTCAAATGGCTCTTTTTTCTGGCACGCAGCTTTGGTCGAACTCGAGGCTTTCGCAACTCGGCAATGCCTATTGATGTTTTCCATGTCTTCTTCCACAGTTTCTCACCATTAAACGGCTTGATATTCTCAACATATGTGTCCTTCATGACACTTGAGTGGTAATAAGCAGACACATATTTCAAAGGATCATCTCTATTATCATCGAGAACACATATAGCATGTTTGCAAGGTATACCTAAAACAAAACAACAAAAATTATTAAAACAAGAAAACAACAAGATGGGAAAACATAACAAGAAATATTTAACTTACCTATTAAATCCCAGCGCCTGCAAGCACACTCATGTGTTGCAAGTCTAACCGTGTAGCCATGATTGAATTCCTTCACCTCATATAAAGTGGAGGAACTTCTTATAGTGGTGCTGAATTTGTTCTCAACCTTTGATTTCTCAAGCAATGCCATAGTGATTGGTGTACGGACGGTATCATACCTTTCCGATTTAATAAGTTTTCGTGATATCCTTCTCATAGCTTGTCTTCTAACATCTTCTAACAAAGAAATGACAGGTTTTGATCTCACAATTTTTATTGTTCTATTAAAGCTTTCAAATAGGTTGTTGTGTACATTATGGCATCAAGAATCAGTAAAGAAGAATGCTCTACACCACTTCTCTGGTTCAGTTCCCAGTAGTGCAGCGTGAGCTATAGGGTCATACAACTTAACCATCCTTAGTTTCTCGTCATATTCACCAACATTGTAGCTGTAACCAACTCCCCAAAACAAATTTTTGTACTCATACCTAGAGAATGATTTTTTTCCAGTTTCCATATATATGGTGTGCACACATGACACATTCGATGCACTGGTTTAGGCAACTCTGCTCTGGCTGCAATTACAAGCCCATTTTGCTTGTCAGAAATTATGGTGTAGGTCTCTCTTGTTCCTAATCCAAGATCCGCCGTTAGCCTCTTTAAAAACCAAACCCAAGTGTCTTTTTTTTCTCTTTTGACAACCGCCCATGCTATAGGATACATTCTATTATCAGCATCAATATTTTTATTTGATAGAAGGAGCATTTGTTTTTGATATATCCTTTCATGGTATACTATTGGAAAATCCATGAAAATTAAGAAGAGTATTTTTGAAGAAATATACATTTCCATAACCATAATGATTTATATTTGGTAGATCTGATCTCCAAAAAACTCTTCCCAAAATCAATTATTTCTTTCCTAATTACAATAACAACAAAAAATAAGAAAAATTTAAGATTCGGTTGATAAATTGCATTTCATATTCAGATTTTATTTATCTACTAGATATGGACCCGTTCGTTGTGTTTTATTTGATGTTTAATTTTTGTGGACACATAAAAAATGAATTATTTTTCACAGTAGACCATCTCCAATTTATTTTGTTATTTTCACTCTAAAATAAATGAACTCTATAATAGAGATAAGATATTCTCTAATATATTCTTCTATAATAGCAATCTCTAAATATAGAGTATAAATAGAGGATTGATATTTCTTTTCTTTTATAGATAGAAGAAAAATTAGAAATCTCTATTATAGAAAAAGAAATAGAGGTGGTTGGAGAAATTTCACCTTAAAATGCCATTATAGAGATTAAATAACAATGTAATGGAGAAGCTCTTAGTTCTTGAATTTTTCAGTATATATTGGTCTTAATTTTAATTGTGTTGTTTTTAATTTACCTTAACAAGATGAATAATATTGAGAGTTTGCGGTTCTATATGTTTCAATTAAATACAAATATTATTATTTGAAAATAATTAAAATGTTAATATATTATTTAAAACACCATAATTATTAAAATTGAAATATCAATCAAAATTTATGTAAGAAACAAATTATTATTATTAAAATTAAGACCAATATATATTGAAAAATTCAAGAACTAAGAGCTTCTCCAATCCATTGTTATTTTAATCTCTATAATGGCATTTGAAGGTGAAATTGCTCCAATCACCTCTATTTCTTTTTCTATAATAGAGATTTCTATTTGAAGGTGAAATTGCTCCAACCACCTCTATAATGGCATTTGAAGGTAAAACATCAAATATGTTTACTTTAGCATATATGGTGTGACTATTGTCTTTATGTTTTAAAAATCTGAAACTATGGAGTTGTAGTGACTCTTGATAGTGTGATGTATAATTGTAAGGCTGGACATGGAAAATATAGACCAACCTTTTAAGGTTTAACCTTAACTTTTGTTGATTGTCATTGCATAGCAAACTCATATAAGAAATTAACGTCACTTCAGTTTGAAAGGTCATCTTGCATGTGTTGGTATGAAACTTATGCTACGAATAAAAATCTGATTTTTCCATATAACTTCTAGTTAGGATTTCTACTCCAGTAATCATGTTGTGTACGTCAAATTATTAGTAATATTGTTCATTGCAAAGTTTTTCTCTTTGATTTCATCTCTTTAATAGCATGACCTACAATATTCTTTTTCAAAGTCATTCTCTTTTATTTTAATTCTGTAGTATCATGATCTACAATAGCATAACCATTTTATATGGCGATAAGAACAAACACACATAAGCATAATCACAAATAAGTGTAATAATCACATTACCAATTAAACTTACATAAAACAACATGTACGAACGTTTAAGTATATTTGTGGCAATAACTAATGTACGATATCATGATAATAATATATTAAAAAAAAATCAACATTACTTTAATGTGAAAATCAGGATCACATATTATTTCCTCTACATATGATACCCAAAAATGAATAGATCACGCGAAGATGTGAATAATTGTAGTTCCTTTTGGTTTATTATTTTTAAAAAGAATATCAACTATTTTAATTGGAAAGTGGATTATTCATAAAAAATATTAGAATTAATTATTTCAAAAACATTTTGATTAGGATTTGAAGAAAAAAAAACTATTTAAACTTTCTTTTACAATTTGCTTACGTTTTTTAAGTTAGAAAAGGACAATTACTACTAATTATTTTATTTTCTTATAGTTATATATTCATTAGAAATTTAGAAGATGATAGTTGGTATTAAGTAAACTATTTGACTAATATTTTTTGTTTAATATTTTTAAAAAGAAAAAGTAGAGAAAATACAACTAAATATTTAATTTTTGTTTAAAAATTGCTCTTATTATCTTATTATATATTTTATTAATCATGAGATATTTATTACATAACAAAAATTTAAAAGGAAAATTACTATCAAATAATCTTTTCCAATTATCTTTTCTTTAGGATTTTAGAAAAAGAAATCTAGTATTAAATAAATTATTTCACAAATATCTTTGTCTTTAGGATTTCTAGAAAGGAAATTTTATAAAAAGCCCTATTAAATAATTTAAAATTTGAATTGTTTTTTTCAAAATAAATAATTTTTCAAATAATGTTTTCAAATTTTCTTTTACTATTTTCTTTGTATATATATTTTAATAATGAGATTTTATAAAACATGTCAAAATTTCGAGCAATAATTATTTGCAATTATATTTTTTTAATATTTTAGAAATGAAAAATAACTAAATAATATTTATAATTATTTTTTAACAAATATCAGTTTTAGTATCTTAGTATATTTATTGTTAATTATGATATATTTTAACACATATCACAGTTATGAATATATAACTTTCATATGTCACAATCATGTTAATTAGCAACTTTGAAGAATGAACCTCAGTATAATCTTTTACAAATTAGTTTTCAAAATCTTTTACAAGTTTTCTTTCAAATTTTGTTTTTGTTTAGGATTTTTTGCAAAAAAAGAACTAAAGTACTATTAAATAATTTTAAAAGTATATTTTAACTAATAAATAAATTTTAAATTTACTTTTTCAAAATTCGTTTTTATTATCTTATTATATATATATATGATTTAATCATTATTTATTTTAACACATGTCACAATATTAAAAGGAAAATTACTGTCAGATAATCTCTTACAATTATCTTTTTCTTAGGGTTTTAAAATGGAAAATTACTATTACATAATAATTATAATTACTTTTTTTTAAAAAAAAATTGTTTTTGTATATATAATTTTAATTATGAGATAGATTCACACGTGTCACAATCTTAAACTCATAATTGGCATGTGTCGCGATCATGTTAATTAGTAACTTAAAAGAACCAAGCTTTATATAATAAGATACTATTAACTTTTCTATTTGTACTATTATTTTAGAAATACTCTATAATATTATTTTAAAAATATTTTTGTGGGTTTATCATGTTTCTCATGCTTTTAGACTGAATCATCTATTTATTTATATTGTTATTAAGATATATATACTATTTAGTAGATAATTTTTAATACTAACATAAAATTTGTATTTAGGTATGGTTGGTGTTTTAAAATTAAGAGAACTCCCTAATTAATTGTCACAATTTGATTGGTTGATATTTTTTTATTTATTTAATCAAAGTTTTAAAAGAAAACTAATCATAGAATTATCTAATCTAAAATATATTTCCAAATAAAAAATTAAACATCTTAAATATAGATGAATTAACATAATTTATTTATAAAATAATTAAATAGTAGGTGTTTCATCCACGCATGCGGACGTAAGCATTTTATAATTAATTTCATTACTAATTAATATATTATAATGATAAATTATTTTTATTTTTTATTTGAAATTGTTTACATATATAAATTTTTGAAAAATTATTTGTCCATTATATTCATT